CTGGTTAAGGCACGTATTGCGTATGCCCAGCTACCGTCTACCACCTCACGCCTTATTCGCCATTCCGGGCTGGAGGAAACCACGTGGAGGTTAACCAATTACGTGGATACAAGGCATGAAGAAATGTACAGAGTCAGTAGGTAGAGTAGGTGTCACGCGCCTTCCTGGTTGGGGGTCCGAAAGACTCCACAACTGGTTGGTTGGAGACATTGAAGGATATGGCAGCGATCCGACAGCAGTGGCGTTCTTGTTGTCATTTCTTACCAGACCAGAATGCTTGAAATGGTATGTACTCAGAGTTCGATGGTGCATTGTGTTGACCAGTGGTTCACCTTCTCCCTCGCTTAAAATAGGTTCAATCCCTATCCACCTTAAATTTTACCACGAACCTTGTATGCATTGCGAGTTTCGCAGCCATCAGTGAAGTTTGCCTCACTGTACTTCTCCGTATGATGATGAAGGGCGTAGTAAAGGAAAACAGCGGAAGATAAATTTATAAAAATATACGGCATCTCAGCAGAAGCTCGTTCATCGCGACCCCCAATCCGTCTGTGATAATGAACCGGAGGATCTAGATCACACTTGTAGCACGCAATTCAGTATACTATTCTTGTTGATAGTTGCACAGTGACTGTATTTGACGGTATTACCGGGATGACCTGTAGAACAAGTCCCGTTGGACCAAATCTGTCCCATCCCCTTCGTGCAGTGAGAATATCTTAGCACACCGCAAAGTGCGCAACGAATGAACAATGCATGCCTTGGCAGGTGAAGAGATTCGCGCCTTGAGTGTGGTGTCGCACTGATAGGATTTGTTGTTCAGATTGTTGCTTGACAGATTGAAGTCTTGAGGTGAAACTGAAAAGTTCAGTAGCCTCGATGGGATTCGAACCCACGCAAGGACGCCGCCTACGTCATTGTTGTTGATGCTGTAAAATGCGGTGAACAATCGGGCAATTGCACCCAGGTCATTTGATATTCACCAAGACCCCAAAAATCGTCTATGATTGTCCGCGGCCGCTTATTCAGTTGACCAATGCCATGTTATTCACTATTAATCAACTAATTAATCGTTCAGTCTGGATCTCTGCGCTTGTGAGAGTCGTGCGTTTGCTGTGGTAAGCAAGATGGCTGGACTCGATGGTGATTCGTTCGAAGATGCCATTCGCGAACGAGTTCACGAAAGAGGTGTCTCTCAAGGAGATACCAGTTTCGGGATGAACTAGAAGCAACACCTAGTAGATGAACATAGCGTAGCTCTCCTTCTTTTCAAATTTCGGCGCCTTGGCGTTCGAGGGCTTCTCTGCTGCCTTGCCTGAAACAACCTTGAGGATAATGCGAGTGAGTTCAACGAAGGGCCATCTGGTTGATCGATGATCCTACCGTAACCTCTAACCTGCAGTTACTAGTCCGTTGTCACTGTTCCTTCTCTACCATTACTACTTTAATTTTGTCCTTTAGAGACTGCCTCAGCAGTGCCTCTCCCTGTAACCTTTGCTCGCCCACACTGTACACAGGTTCCAGTCGTCCATGTAAGATTTCGGTCACCAGATGTCGTACTTCTCTACTCCAATTTTTTCCCCTAAACGTCCAAGTTGTGGAAAACCTTTTCACTCTGTGTCATTCCCTCAACTTACAACCTGAAACTCGTTGAATACGGAATCAATAAGCTGGATCTTATGTAAATATCCCTTTCCACAGGATGTTTTTAACCATGGAGATTTTCTATTTTACTGCTATTCACATTTAGTGTAATAAAAGAATCACCGTTACTATCCGCTACCGAGAGACGTCTGGCAGCATAAAAAGGGAAATTAGAACATTCTCCTTTCCTTTTCTGTTTCAAACACGTAAACACAAGCAGAAACAAACAATATAGTTACAAGGTGCCTTGCCCATTTACCTTCATATAAAATGCAAACTTACAGGCAAATCGGCCAACATTTGTGGGGTGATTTTCAGAGCCAACTTGTGTTGTAAAGCGGACTGAAATCGACTGAGTGTTGCCTCAAACTCTCCAACCATCTCATCCGCACGAATTAGCTCAAGTAGTTCACTTGGCAATTGATCTTTGGATAACGGGACAGCCTTCGCTTTACCCTTACCTTTGCTTTTCCAGCGAACAGGCATACGGGGTAGAGCAGGTGGCGATACCATAACCACAGTGCGAGGACAGATAGTCGAGAAAAATGTAATGAAACGAGTGGTCTGTACCAGACGGGTACATGGCGCACGTATAAAGAAGGACATGAAAGATAGGGCCCGGTTCATTTCCGCACGACGGAGGGCTGTGGAGAGATCTGGAATGAGAAAAGATGAATCCACAAGTGCATAAAAAGGCGATCATTTGATCTAAATCAATCATCAACAAACTTACGTAAGTGGCAATTATTTCTCAATAACTAGAATGCTGGATGAGTTCTTGATAATTACTAAACAGCTAACCAGGAGCAGTTTCAGTTCAGAAATGGAAGAGCCCATACGAGTCGTTGTGCCACCCTAGAATCACCGGTATGATCTACTTTGTGCACCCACCCCTAAGGTTTGTCGCACTCAGTTCAGGAAGTTAAACATTGACTTCTGAATACAGCATACGCGACAAATTAAAATTGCGCTTTCACACATCAATCACCGGGCGCCTGATCAAGGCTAGGCAACAAATTTGAAAGGCTCAGAAAGGCGCACTTTCGTGGGCCGGTTTTGGTTGCTGTCTTTTGATTGTCCATTTGGATAAAAAAGCGAAATGAAGATTGGAATGTCGAAGCAAATTCAAGCGGAAGATGGGGAATTCATATAGAGTGGTGTTAGGAAAATAACGAGTGGATGCACGAGCGCCACTGTTTGCGACACCCAGCCATATTACACAGTGTAGCTAACCA